CACTATTTCAGACATTACTGTTAGAATCAAGCAGACCTCTATGTGAATAAAATAAGTCAGTAAAGAGCAACTAAATTCGATTCAGTTCACCAGTAACTAAAATGCAACCATTGTGACTGCCCACAAAGGTCCTGTAAATGAGCTCTTTTTATTGAAGTTTGTTCTTCAAACAAAAGAATAAATTCTTCCACTTTGCTCTCTCTGATCACGTTCTCTGTGGCTGTGTTTGCAGGAGTGATCTTTGCCAGTATCAGCTCAGGACTGGGAGAGTTGTCCTTCCTCTCTCTAACAGTATATTTCAGCAGGTAAACACTCTTCACTCATTCTTTTTGCCAATTTTGAATTCAGTTGCTGCTCTCTTATTAAAGATTCAAACAGAGCTTGTCCAGATGACAGAACTTGGGTCGATGCCCAAAGTGTAGGGTAAAGTTTGTGAACAAGGCAGAGTTTACACAGTCGAATTCTTCGAATTCCTGCATAAAGACAAAATTTTATTTGTATTTTATTTGCTGTGTGGAATCCCATTTCTGCCAGGACTGAAGTAAGAATAGCTTGAAACCAGAATCATTCAATGGAAATTACTTTTTGTTACACTTGCTTAGTAAAAATTGTGAAAAGATAAAAATTATAAATAAAATAATAATTCATTAAGTTGATATAACAAAGTCCAAGTGAATTAACTGATTGAAAAAAACAAATAAAACAAAACTAATTCTATGTGTCAGAATTAAATGAACAATACCAAGTGTGCAGTATTAATGGAGGTTTGCAGAAAGTGATTTTACAGTAGTTTAAATGTAAGTTGAGAGTAAGGAGCTTTGGTTGTTTTATAAAAACAAAAGTTTAGAGGGGTTGGGATTGTTGACAGTTCTAACTAAAATAACTAAAAACTGAAATAAAATACAGATGATAACAAGAAAAGCAAAGTGAGTTTATTTTTCATACATTTTACACAAATTTCCATTCATCATTTTCTCCCTGATGCCACCCATTTGTTTCTGGAGCGTCATAGTGTTTTATGGAGCCAGACTCAAGCAGAGGTTGGAGTGCTGTCTCCATGAGCTGTGCACACAGACACACCTGCTCATTAATAAGTTACACACTAATAAAAAACACCACCAGAATTCCCAGACTTCTTGGACAGTCTGCACCACAGAGTTATATGATCTTGGTAAAAATGGTAAATGGCCTGTATTTGCGTAGCGCTTTACTTAGTCCTGATGGACCCCAAAGCGCTTCACACTACATTCAGTCATCTGCCCATTCACACACACATTCACACACTGGTGATGGCAAGCTGCATTGTAGCCACAGCTGCCCTGGGGCCCACTGATTGCCTCTGTAAGATAATTCCTTCTTCAAAAGACATCAGCAGCATAAATCAGCTGGCATCAGTGACCAGCTGTGCTGATGCCTAGCAGAGAACAGATGGACTGCTACAGGTTTGCAAAAAGAAAAGTTATGAAGGAGTTATCAATCTGATATTCTTGATATCAGACATTTTCCACTGAGTTACGTAGTTTGGGTGCTTGACTTTAAATGTCAGTTTCCACGATGACAGAGCTTTTTCACAGTAACTCCAAGTTTCCTTCTAACAGTAATCCTGCTTACAGCTTAGACTCACAGCAGATAAAGTCCCAGTCACAAATGAGTTTAAGAAGCTGTGAATGGTCTTCCAACCGTGTTTTTACTTTTACTCTGGAACATTAACGGTGGTTTTCTGTCTGCTCCAGGAGTGTACTGGAAGGCTGGGGCTCAGGCACTGGTGCTGCTGGTCTTATTGGAGCCCTCCTTTACTCAGTCCTCATCCAAGCTGGCCTTTCACCACGGGTTACACTGCTTATCATGCTGGTCGTCCCACTCACTATGGTGGTAAGGTAAGTGTGTAGGGACAAGGGTTCTCTGTATTTTTGTGTTGTGACTCATCGCTCACTCAGATAGTTAGTTTGTGCTTTGTTATTTGTGGACATATTATCTTATTTTGTTTTTAGCATTTTTGGATGGGAGTTGCTTAAAGTGAATCAGTGGCACCGAACTTGGCAGGGGATTAAGACATTCTTTAACTATGGCCTTGTGGCTTAGGCAGGTAGGCTGTTTTTAAGTTGTCATAGCATGTACACCGTGTGTGCATCTAATATGTCAGTGTTGATGGATGCTAATGACGTCCTCATGAGGTGAGTGTTTTGTGCTGTGACCTTTAGTGCTGTGGGAAATATGGCTACTGGATCACTTGTGAGTGTTGTTGGCCAGGTGATGGCAATAACACTGAGGGGTGCTGAGCCACCCTTGATGTGATCATTGTGTGGCCATAGCTCTCCATTTTGTGGTTGGTCACTAGTATGCTTGCTTTACTGAACCTTGTGGATTAAAGTAACTTGTGGTATAAGGCCATTTGAATGTGACCATTTGTGTGGTGGAAACAACAGATCACTTGATTGTGGGTATTTGTTGCTACTTTTGGTTTTGTGTTGTAGCAGGTCAAGTAATCATTTTCAGTTTGTGACTGTCGTGCTCCTTTGTGTTGGTCACATGTTACTTCTTGTGTGTTCAGTGTGGCAACTTCAAATCCTCATGCAGGGGCATCCATGCTTAAAGATGCCAACTATAATGTGAACACTGTGCTTCTGTTAGCTTTTACTTTTATTTCAGGTTTGTGGTTCAAGGACCTGAAGGCTTCAGGGGGGCTTTTAATAAATGTAGGGGTCCTAGAGGAACCCTTTTGAGGGAGGAGGTGTTATGTCCCTCTGCAGCCCCTAATCTCCTCAGTGTGTTCACCTAGTCAGGTGCTGATAAAGGCATATCTGAAGCAGGCTTTTTAGCCGACCTGCTATGCATTTTAGGATTAAAACCTCTTCTCACCCACAATCTGGTATTCATCTCCTTTTTTATGTTGCGGCTTTTGAGCCAGGTCGTAACAGAGACTTAACAAGGGTCCAATTTTGAATTAAGCTTCTGTAGGTCTAAGGTGTAGGTAGCCCAATGCTTTCATCTGTGGAGGTGAAGTGGTGGCCAAATAGTCACTTTAATTGAGTTCAGTTGACTCCAGTTCACTTCAGTCAAATAAGACATTGACAGGATGTAGTTTGTATTTCCTGTTGAGACTTTTTCCCTGTAAACTGCGTATAAATGAAGCTGAAACTTACAAAATGATTTGTCGTCTTCTTCATCCCAACAATTTTACCAGCTATTTCTTCCTGCTGGTTTTTCCACCTTCATTACCTCAGTGGAGGACCAAGGAGACTGAGTATGCAGCTTTGGTCTCTGAGGACAGACAGCAACTTCTGGACAGTTCAGACGAGGAGGAGCCCGAGAGCTCCACCACAGGTAAATGTCACATTAGAAGGGTGTAGCATGAAATCAGCAATAAACTGAAATTTAAATAAAGTTCAGCGACCAAATCCTGTAAAGACAAACTCAGTTTCATTGTTTGATATATCTACTAACTGAACACGAACACATGAGTTCCTGTAAGTGTTTGAGTCCTCCATGACACCAGTTTTGTTTTTCCGCAAGAATACATGAATTTTAACATTTTAAGCAATAATTTGCACAAAAAGGCAGATGCAACAAATATGATGAAGATATAAAATCATTTACATTTGAAGTTTGTCCACAGAGACTCACGTTTTCTTACAATGATGACTTTACACTGTTGCCCAATAGACACGCCTGAAAGATCCCAGAGCGTTGCTTTGCTGTTATCTAATCAGATGGTCATCAACACGTGTCAGTTTCTGTTTGACATGGTGAGAGGAAACGCACTATTCTACATCTTTATTGAAATTGATAAAAGGAGGTCATGACTTAGGGGAAGATGTGAGTCGCTCAGATGGAAAACAGTGAAAAGGTATTTAAAGCACAACAGTAGTTTATATTTACCTCAGCTAAGAAGGTAGAAGTAATGTTATTAATCTGTCAGTCAGCAGGTTTATAGCCCAAATTTTAAAATTGCAAAACGGGGCTAATTTTGTATTTTTATTGTTTAAAGTATAAACAACAGACTTCTTAAAAGTTCTCTTCCTTTTTTGAATGGATGGATGTGTGCTGGTAGTCCATAGGAGCTATGAGTTCGGCAGGTATGTGTTGTGACTGCCTATTGTCACTAAGTGCAGTGTCTTGAAAGAGCCAATAATGTGGGCTACGGTGGATTATGTTTGGCCTTCAGTTGGTTCTTTAGCTCAGCCTCTGTTTCACAGAAGAGTCATAAGAGACTCTGGTGAAGTGGGGAAGTGAAACTTCCTCAAAACTGTCTGCTGCAGTATTGTTCATGTTTTTCTCGTGTACTTTTTGGTCTTTGATTTTTCTTAATGCCTCTGTCTTCAAGGTGAACATGCTGTTTCCTTTTTAACCAATCAGCATATGACCTACACAAAGGCTGTATCCCAATTCAGGGTCTGCAGCCTTAACGGTCCACAAGGGCCGCGTACTCAAAGACCGCTAAGGCCGGAAGT